CTATTTTCAACAGGCTTCCTTTAGTCAGAGCACTTTGACAATAGCGATAATCATGTTTCTAATGAATTTTAAAGTGTTTGTATAGTTTGAACTACGTCAAGACACTAATTCATAGCGATTAATTGAAAGCCATTCCTATCCATTCCTATCCATTCCTATCCATTCCTAGCCATTCAAATGGCTCGGAATGAGTTTTTTCCCCCTTGCTAAGACCTCTGTAGGGGGCTGAGCCCCCCCTGGCCCCCCTCTGGTTACGCCTCTAGCTCCCTCGTTAAATCTGTAAATAAGAGCAATTTGTACTTAATAAGGCACCATACTATTCTTTAAATTAACTAATTATGCAGCGTCCGACAATCAGTTGTTAAAGCGAGAAGAAATATTACACAGAAGTTTTGGTGGAAGATAAGTTATTTTAGCTACTTTAAGATGCGTAAGAACTACAAGAACCTATTTTATCATGTAGAGAACATTCACTCCATATATACATCAGGCGTTCGTCAATAGGCATATTTGTTTTGTAGATTTAAATAAACAGATGCCAACAGAATCTCGTAAAAAAAACAGATTTCATCGTAAGAAGAGAATAAGATGCTAAATGAGATCTTGTCCTACGAAATAAACGATACAAATTTAGAATTATCACATACGCATGTTCAATTATATTAGCTGACATTTTTGAAATATTCAAAATTTGAGCACAAATAGCCTATTAATCTTAAAGCAACGGTTTCTTCGACATCGATCAAAAGTAAAATATATATTACCGAACGTCCGCTTCAACTGACAAATCAAAATAACTTACGTAAAGTGAGCACAATATTTTAATAATTCCAGTCTCGATTTGCTCTCTGATTTATATTGGGTCTGCAAGAGGTCTTGCTCGATAGAGAATTTCTCCCGCTAGCGAGTGGGAATAAATTCGGGAGAGGGGATGTTATCGGGCAGAAAATGGGGTTTATTCAAGAAATGCACACTTTCCCAATTGAACGGACAATGCATAAACACTATTTTCAGTTCGAAATCACTTTGAGGCCTGTGTTGGATTTAAACCTGTCTTTATTCGATATAGAATTTCATTTTCTACCGCACAGTATCATTTTAGGTGGGATCATCAGACAAAAAAACGATGAGTTGGGTGGATACCTGGATGAAAATATATATCTGAGTGTGAGCGTGGGTGAGAACGTTCGTCTTGGGGATGAAAAAGCAATGCCCCTAACCTTTGAAATAAATAGGAAAGTATGGTAAACAATCGATTATGACCGCACATCTCATCGTACTCACATTCATATATACATATCCACACCCCAGTGGCCGCCAACTCATAATGTTTTACGTGCGGAACGCATCTAAAATGATATCATGTGGTTGAAAATGAAAGTCTACATCGAATAAAAACGGTTTCAGACCTAACACAGGTCTCAAAGCGAATTCAGGCTGATAATAGTATTAATGCATTATGACTTTCATCGGGAAAAGTGAGTACTGCTTGAACAAACCCCATTTTCTGCCCTACGACCTGTACTGAATTTAATTCCCAATGTCTATAGGAAGAAATTCTCTCTAATACAACCTGAAATCGATCCAACACAGGTCATTGACCGAATCTTGACTCGGATAACTCGAATATTGTGTTACCTTTGTTGACCTCACACATGAAAACCAATATTCAGCTTTTCTTGATAGAAACAATAGTTATTTAAAGGCAAGCATTTCTCAGTACTGCACGATACGGTGTTAAAGCAGATTTAAAACATCCTTCTCGTGCTTATATCTCATTCTGCTATAGCTATATACCACAAATTTTTTTCATATCTTGTGAAGAAATTGATATATTTTATTTCTGCGCATAATTATGCGATTAAAGATATTCAACAATTGATATATTGCATCATGCTGATTGAGTTTGCCTGAAATATTTCAATATGCTCTTTGCATCTCTGTGCCGAAAAATTAGCCTTAGTCGATATTTTTAATTTATCACAATTCAGTTTCTAGTGTATGCAATGATACAGAATCTCACGCTCTATTACGCTATACATTTGATTTTGAAATAATGTGTGTTTTCTATTCAAATACGGATGAAATCTCTCTTTAGAACAATTTGAAGAGAAAAATATTTTATTGTGCAAGAAATTTTTTAACAAAAGGATGTAGCGCAAGATGTTTGTATATGGATTTGTAGAGAATTTTAAGTACCATCAATCTATGAAGTTGGTTTCCAGAAAACGCTAGTTGTTAGTGATGAAATAATAAAAATCTCGGATAGGTCAATTTTTCACAGATGAAAATTTTTGATGAGAATGTTAAGACTTTTCCTAAGCCGAAATTTAATCTGCCAAACTTTTGAGAACATCATTCAATGCATTTTGATGTGCTCTTTCAAATGAGACAATTTTCAGCGCATACGATCTCACTGATCCGACTAAGTTGCCCAAAATACGTGGGCATGCTTTCGGAAAATCAAATATGGTGCCAATCAAAAACTATTCCTGGATGTAGTACTTTTATGACTATCAAAAGATAGCCCGTAATCGATAGTATTTTTGGTGAAAAAATCTCAGCGATAACTATTATAACTTGAGAGAAAATGAAAATATACTGAAAAGTAGTGCAATAGAAAAACGTCTAATTTTGATCGAGTACCCACACTTTCAAGTCATGAATCTCGAGAACAGCTCATCCGGTTGAGCTGAAATTTTAGGCTTATTCTTAGCATAAATGTAGGTATCTACTGTAAAAATATCAGCCAAATCCGTGAGACTGATTGAGCGAGGTTTCGTAGAAAACGGTCGTGGCTTAGGTGCAATGCCTTCTACGGAACGTTGAGGTAATCATCACGAAACTTTTGAACCATGTATTTTGGGGTACCAAAGACTCAAGATCACCCCCGTATTAGGGACCTTTGACTCCCTTATTCATCTTTTATTTTCACTTTTAGTACTTTTACTTGGAAGCTTTTTGTTTTCGTCTAATTCTTACGTCAGCTTCACTTATTCGTGCCACTTCATAAGTCTCCCGTTACAGATCCACCTTCAATGTATGAGCTAGTCTAAGGAAATTTCATCACCAGGTTCTGGTGCAAATAACCAATTTTCTATGCTGTCCATGCATTTCTCCTGTTCAGCACTGCCAGTTAAGGGTCCAGGGAATCAAATTTCGATGTTGATGAACGTTACTTGCCACCTTTTTAATCATGAAAAGTAAAACTTTTTAGCAAGTAGCTATTTCTAAAAGACAGAATATTCATGTTGCAGAGGAAATATTTCGCGATTTGGGTGATCGGTGTGGATGTGGACGTTTCATGTTCTACACTTACCCACACCCACACCCGAGATCTTCACTAGGAAATGAATGGCAGTTCTCAAACCTTCTTTCTCTCACTGTTGTACTCAACATATCTAAGTTAGAGAATGCGGTTCCTTTCATTTTCCCAAGCAGTAAGCTTCGTATTTGTGAGAAATTCGCACAGACCCGATGTTTAAGATATTCAACAGACGTATGTGCACAATCGGTCTTCTGCCTAACTGTGTATTGCAGTATTTTTCACACCCACATACCACATCCTGAACAAAGACTTCGTTCGTGTAGCAAAGTTTGATCGAAACGGCCAAAGTCCATAAAATGAGAAAATTCATTTCCGATTGGTCACTTTCCGACCAATGAAACCTCTGCCAAAGAAATGGGGTTCGAATTCGGATTCAGGGCTCTCGATAAGCTATGGCAAACTTCGATCGAAACGAGCAAAAGTCTTAAAATAAGCTAACCTCCTTGGATGGTTTTTTGACCTCAAGCAAACACGCAAACAAACGCATTTTTGTTCTTTTTATATGACCTTCCCTTCAGTCGAGGGAATATGCGGTTCTCAAAAACACCACACGAAAAAGAATACAACTTTAAACAAATATTTTCCGATTAAAGAAAGTCTGACTAAAGTTGTAGAATTGGCTTTCAATGATTTACATTCTAGAGTCTCAATAGTTTCTGTTAAACGTTTTGAATGAGATTTATCTCTATATTTTGACAAGAGACACTTTGCTATTCCTAACAAAAAAAGGATCAAATCTCTACGAGATTCCATTACAGCGCTACACCAAAAAAAGTCAATGCAGAGCTTTTGTCGCATGTGTTATTTCTCTTACTTCACTATTGAATTTGTGCCATTTTGAGAGTAGCCCTCCTCGATTCCGTGTTCACGTTGTCGCCGTGAGGAGGCTTACTCAGATTCCTCTACCCACAAGGTAAAGGAAGATGGGGACCAAGAGACACGGATAGTCCGTCAGGGCTTGCAACCCGCACGTATGAAATTAAATTTACAGCGAGTCAGCAAAACCAAAGAGTCCCAAACGGCGTAGACGGGAAAAAACGTTCTTTAGGCACTAGGACGACTGAACCCCCGAAGGGACTTGCAGAAAAAAACCACCGCAACCAACGGAGTGCCTCCAACCGGTTACACATTCTTACATTCAACTGCAAATATGGACTAAAGGATGCCCCAACTAAAGACTTATTCATGAATCAACTGTCAAAGTTCAAATACGATATCATTGGTCTCTGCGAAACACGTGCCAAGGTTGAAAGTCGAACAAAATGGATTCAAACTGGTGATGAACCTGTCATTGGCGAAGGAAATGGTCAACAACGTATTGGAGGAGTTGGATTCATCATCAACAGCCGCATTGCCAGTCATGTGATAGAGGTCCAAATCCATTCACATCGAACTGCAACGCTCAAGCTCGACATAGGAAGAAAAACACTACTCCTGATCGTCCAAATATATACTCCTCACAAAGAACATGGCATAGATGAAATTGAAAAATTTTACTCAGAAGTCGAGACACATCTGGACCAACCTGCATATCAGAATATCGTTATCGGCGACTTCAACGCCCAATTAGGACCGAAAGACACCAATCAACGATACTTGGGCAAGTTCACGAGTGGCACATGGGACAAAATGAAACCGGAGAACTATTAGCGGACTTTGCCGACGCAAACAAACTATTTATAATTAACACACTCTTTCAGAAACCTCCGAACAAGCGATGGACATTCGAATCAACAAATACCAACAAGTCAAGACACGAAATTGACTTTGGATTATGTACTGATCGAATCATGGTGACGAACGTCGAATTCCTCAGCCGACTAGACAGTGGCAGCGACCATCG